ACTGTTATTCACCGGGTTGTATTTGACTTTGTGTCGGGTTAATAGCCACGAAACTGTTAAATTCATGTTTCGTCGCAATTTAGGAATTTTCGCACAATCCTGCATACATTTAAGATGATAGATTTTTGCATAATTTTGAACAATATTTCGGTATTTGAATAAGTTTCAAATTTTTATGGATTTCTTTTGGTATAGCTCATGTGCACGAAATGACCAGAGGAACAATATGAACTTTTTGGACATGTCATAGCGCCATGAATTCTGTTGCTCGTTCTGTGTACTTTGTTATTTTTTCTGCACGTGCTGCTTGCATATTTGCTGTTTGTGGATGTCAATCAGGTAGCCAATCTTTTGCTGTTTGTCTACAAAAAGTATGTCTGGTCTGTTATGATGAATGGTCTTATCTGTAATAATTTCTTTGTCATAGTACAAATTGTGCCGATTGGGGTAATCTGGGAGGGCCATTAATTTTCATCATGATGTAATGTGCTGAATGCTCCCAACTTTTGTATAGCAATTTGTACATTTGTCATCTATTGTGTGTTTGAGAATAATATTTTCTGTAGTTTTTAGTGTTGATCACTTGATCCTATATGGCATCTATGAACCCTTTTGTTTCGCCAAATAGATCACCGTAGTTTAGCCAAGTGTTTGAGGCTTTTGACTCTACATGAAGTTGTTTGGGATCATTTGCATGTCATCCATGGAGTTACTTCCATGACCACGAGCCTTTTTTGCGGTTATTGTCTGTAACCCGCGAAGAAATGCCTAGCTGATCGTTGTTAAGGTTAAGAGAGGTTCATTTAGTGTCTGCTTGAACTATTGCAGCGTGTAGTTCTGAGGATGCCAGTTTCTCATAATAAAAGTTCGTTAATGAATGTATTTGTTTGTAGTACAAATTCTTGAGATCTATTAGGTTTCTTCCACCTCATGTCGTGGGAGCGTTACTCGTTATATTGCGCTATTTGGATGGTAATGTCTGAATTTTGTCAATGTTGTACGAGTCAGTCTCTGGATGTCTTCGAAGTCTGTCTCACTACATGGTATGATTCCAAATGCGTACGTATATACTGACACTGCAAATGTGTTGATTGCTTTATCATGTTCTTGCCTGATAATTTGGTTTTCAAGAGTGCAGTGATTCTTGAGATTCTTGAGTTTCGTTAGAGATTGTTTGATTACCTTGTCTGTGATTGCTGGCTGATTTAATCCTAAATACTTGTATATTTCTTCGTCGTCCCATAGCCTGTATTGTCTTTTGATGACTGGGAGTGCTGTCTTCTGTTAACTTTCCTGTTCTGTCTAGGTGAAGGGTCTTCCAATTGACAATGCCTTCTTCTTCTTCTTCTTCCTCTTCTTCTTCTTACTCTTCTTCTTCTTCCTCTTCTTCTTCTTCTTCTTCTTCCTCTTCTTCTTCCTCTTCCTCTTCCTCTTCTTCTTCTTCCTCCTCTTCTTCTTCTTCTTCTTCTTCTTCTTCTTCCTCTTCTTCTTCTTCTTCTTCTTCTTCTTCTTCTTCTTCTTCCTCTTCTTCTTCTTCTTCCTCCTCTTCTTCCTCTTCTTCTTCTTCTTCCTCCTCTTCTTCTTCTTCTTCTTCTTCCTCCTCCTCCTCTTCTTCTTCTTCTTCTTCTTCTTAGGTACATTGTTCCTAATATTGTCTGTTTTCTCTCAAAATTGCGAAAAACCTACTAATAGTTTCAAACCAATGATCATGGCGTTAATGCAAAAATTAACCGTGGGAAACAAATTCCATTTGAAGAAAAACTCTTTACCCTCAATATTATAATTGTATTGTGGGAAACTTTGTATGCGTTGGCGGTACGTGTACTATCAGTAATCCATTAATATCGAGGCTTACATTTGTTACTGACACTCAACTGTGGCTTTATTCTATTATGGTATCTAAATGTTCGCGTAAGAATTAAAAAGTCATTTTAACTCACACGAGAATTAAAGTTGATTGTAAACCCTGCTGTAAAAAGCGCAAAACAAAGAGCAAATACTGTTCTTTAACTACGTGGAAATACATATTATTGAGTATCTGTATCTGAATATTTATCGATAATACATCTTCATTTTATGTGTGTATTTTGAGATTTTTCGTGCTAATATTCTTGATTGCTTGTAGGTAAATGCTGCATATATTGATGATTTCAAGTGTTTAACAATCCATTTTCTAGTACTAACGATGTAGCATGAGTTCCAAACATCGAGCCGCTCAGATTCCCAGCGGCTGCAATGCGCATTTGCGTGGAGCATCTTCTTTAAGTGGGGGGCTCTGCTTGAGGGCGGCCGTCGCTAGCGATGCGGACTCGCCGCGGAGTTGCAGAGGGCGGGAGGCGCGCGCGCGACCCTCGGGCGGCTGCGGGGGCTGGGCGCGTGCAACTTGCACGAGAGGAACCGGCACCGCGCGGTGAGAACCTCGCCCTCGCCCCTCACCCTTGCCTTCGCTCCACCCTCGCCCTCGCCACTCGAACATCGACCTAGCCTTCGTCCCGCCTTCCTCCACGCCCTCGCCCCTCTCAATCGCCTCTCACCCTTGCCTTCGCCCTCACAACTCGAACCTTGCCATCGCCCATCGCGAAAAGTGATTTGAGTGGAACCGAGAGCGAGGCGAAGTTGGGCGACAGGCCTTACCGCGAGAGGCCGAGGAGAGGCCGGAGGGGCAATGGCGAGTTCACAGTGGCGCGGGCGATGGCGTAGGTCCGAAGCGGGGGCACCTGGCCGACGTTCCAGCCTGCGAGGGCCGAAGGCGGGGCGAAGGCAGGGTGAGGGCGATGGAAAGGGGCGAGGGCTGAGGGTGAAGGTGAAGGCGGGACGGAAGGCTAGCGTCGAGGTTCGCCAGTCCGGCGGGGCGAGAGCGGAACGAACCAGGGCCAAGGGTTGAGAGGCCCGATGGAAGGGGCAGGGCTACGGTTCGAGTGCCACGAGGGCGAGTAGAAGGCAGGCGCACGGCATATATAGGTCGAGGGCGATGGCCAAGGTTCCGAGGTTGTGAGTGGCGAGGCAAGGGTGAGAGCCCGCGATTGACGGAGGGCCCGAGGGAGCTTCGAGTGGCGAGTGCAAAGGCGGAGCGAAGGCGAAGTGAGTGGGGCAGATTGGCAGAGGGAAAAGAGGGCGGAGGCCGAGGATCGAAGTGGCGAGGGCGTGGAGGAAAGCGGGACGAAGCTAGTCGAAGTTTCGAGTGGCGAGGCGAGGGCCAGGCACGAAGGCAAGGGTGGGGGCGAGGCACCCGAGAAGCAGCACTTCGCCAGTGACGAGCCGCGGCCGAGGCTACAAAGGCGGGCCCCCGCGCCCCCCCCCCCGCGACCACGCACCCCGCTCGACGATATATAGGTCGAGGGCGATGGCAACCGGTTCGGAGTTGTGATGGGGC